GGGGGGGGGGGGGCAAAAACATGCGCATTCTTCTAATAATCAGAACAGAGCAGATGACGACTTTCATTACTCGCGTTGCAACACCTTTCTCAATCAAACTTGTCACATGTCACACGGTGTTTCCACACACGTGGACGGAAAGTCGAGGAACAAAAAGTGCATCTAAGTCATCTCCCTGCCACATCCCCTCCAGATCTTACTGATCAAATTCTTCGACAAAGTAGGCCTTGGCTTGTCGATGGAGGAACATTTTACATACCAAGTGTCGATCGAAAAAGCGTTTAGTTATCTGAATTTCACGCAAACTCAAAACCATAGATCAGATGTTGTATTCCGAAACATCTTAAATTATCAAAACTGTTCGAAAAAATGTCGGTGGTTTTAAAAATTGGAGTCGACAGTTGGAGAACATTTAAATAGCTGCTAGGCTTAATTTCGCAATACCTTTCCGAGCCAAACTGGGTCTCATGCCAGTCCCTCTTTTCGCCCATGCGACCGCAGTATAATGAAATAAACCGTTCATGTATCTCCCTACCCTCTCCAAGTCTCACGTGACTGATTGACAAACCGAGCCTCTCCATCGCGTTGAGTTAACATTCTACACATCGATCGTCATATTTTCGATTCGTGCGATAACGCAAATCGAACCGGCTCGGCGCCACTCATTGGCAGAGAATGTTTTCGCAGGCCTCTCCGCCGCGAGCCGCGTCACTCGCCAGGCAGTCGCTGCACCCGCGCGGACGCAGACTATAATTACCGCGCGCGGCGCCGAAAATACGCGCCGGCGGGGTGGGGGTGGCGGCGGGTGGGGGAAGGCCTCTTCAGAGCAGCCGCTGCCGCCGCCAGCGCACCTTCACTCAGTGCGCCGCCGCGGGTGGGAAGTGGAGCAGCCATGAGCAAGCCGTACGGCGACCTTCTGGTGAGTGTTAGGCGGGCGCAGCGCGCGCGAAGTCACGTTCCTCTTCCGCTTTTCTTCCCGAGGCACAAGCGGGGCACAGTGTGAAGAGGGTTTGGTCGATATTTTCGGTACAACTCCAATTAATCGAACCACAGTTAGCCGAATCTTTGTTTTTCTGTGTGACGACTTTTCTTCGTCATCTTTGTGATACATTCCAATAATCTAATGTTTTTATCCAACTGGTCTGAGTTTTTTTCAGGCAAGAGAAATTATAATGATTTTTTCTCTGTTGCCACCAGTTGCCAAATTCCATGGATGCATTCAATTTGATACCTATGAGGTAGTATTGTGGCACACTGTTTTCGTAGGATCCAGAAGCTTGTTCGTAGAATGTTAGGCTACCTAATATAGAATATATTGTGAGGCATTATCATTGTGAAGAAATTGAGTTTCTACCAACTATCTCTCATATCTCTTGTTTGATGACACGAATACTCTTTGCAAAAATGCAACAATTGATACTGTTTCAGATGTTTCAAATTGACCTTGTATTAACAAATTTACACGGGCAATCGCATGCGCCATTGAAAAAGAATAGTATGAAATTGGCTGATGTTAAAACCACAAACTTTCTGGGTCGAATCTCTAAGGAAATATTAACGTAAATGGATTGAACCCTAAATTAACTTCACTATGTTAATTATTTAGAATTCTGTCAGTTTTCATTCATCTCGTATGTTTTTCGAATCTACTTTCCCACCTGTGATGTGGCAATATTCTGGGGAAGCCTAATACTATATCAAAACGTTTATATTAAAAAATACGAATAAAAAGCAAATGTCAACTTACGCGATTCCTGCAAGCCTCACTTCATTGAATTTAGACTCTTACTTACTTATGAACCTGAAGTTTTTGTCAGAACTGACTTAAGGATGTGTTTTTGTATATGTTATTATGTATGGTATGTTGTAATTGTTTTTGTGTATGTTATGGGATCGTATTTTCATTCAATACAGATATTTATAATTATACTACACGTTGTAGAAATCATATTCTTCAGGCTCTAGTACGAACAACAACTCACTTGAAAAATTTCACTTATAATACATATAGGTTTCTTTACAACACATTGCCAGTTGACACTAAACCATTAAAGTCGGCAAAAATGCCAAGAAGAATCTTTGCTGCTGAATAACTGCTTCTCTTAGCTGTAACTGTTCTGCTAACTGTAACACAGACTATTCCAACCATCAAAACAGAAAACAATGATTTTCAATGAGTTAGTTAACCTTTGTTTTGTGTAATTTAAAAAAGACTCGTTACAGGTATATACTTGTAACGAGTAAAGTACTTCAGCTTTTGGGTCAAAGGCCGTTCTCTCCATCGTTTTTGCTCCCGTTTCCCTGGTCTATTGTGCAAATGATGATATGGTCCCTTGTTTTGCTTCTGGACATAAATGTATCATGTCTAGGCGCCATAGCTCCCCTTTTGCTACTTGTGGAGGGAGTAGAGTCGGTAGTGTTGGTTGTATTGTAAACAATACCATAAAATCAAACCAGTTTGTTCGTTTACTGAAGCAAACACGTTTTTTTATAATTCGCGAACAAAAATTTCTAGTTTCTCAAATGATGCCAACCTCGCTTTGTGATACTCATTCATCATTCCACTATGTACAACAAAAGAGAAATGGGGGAGAGATTCTGAAGCTCAAGAAAATGTGCGCAATTACACTTCTTATCCCCCTACGTCACATGCCCTTTCTACTGTTTCTTACAAGTATAAATCAAAGGAAAAAATATTTGCAAATAATAATTAATAATAATAATAATATTAATAATATTAATAATAATAATAATAATAATAATAACAATAAGCAAGTGGCACTACAGACAGAGTGGCGCAAACTGTCGCCCTGGTAGTTTCTACATCTCTTTCGTCTGGGATAGCTTTCCTTTTTTGTCCCGTTTCCCAACTGGTACCTATCGACGCCTAAACCTTTTTTTTTTTTTGTTATTTAAAGTCGCACCATTAGCGACCACTATTGCGTGTATCGGCATGGTAACTATGCGGATGACACGATATGATGATGATAGGGGTATGAAAGGATGAACACGATACTATCATGCCTGAGGCGGGACTCGAACCCGCGATCCTTCGGCCCGAGATCGCTACCGCACTACTGCCTTCATCCATCCGGACCGGCGCGCCGGTCGTCTAAAACATATTGTTTTCATTTTTTCTCAATTTCTCGATTCCATAATGGCAGAATAGAACTTGTGATGCTTCAACATCACAAAATTCCGCTCATTATTGCCAACTTTTGCAATTGTCAAAAATTCAGAGACATCCAACGAAAATGAGATCTATGCCATTTTTAAGCGTCCTTTGCCCTGGAAGAAAAAGCAATGTAAATATTTGAAGCTCAATTTGAGGATATGTTTTTTATACATTGTATTAAGTTCAAGTAGAAATTACCCGAGAAATAATTGTTTTTTTATTCAACATAATCTTTGTTAAAAATCTGAATTTTTTGAACAGATTTCGTTTAAGTCAATAATCCCTATCTTTAATATTCTTTTTTTGCAATGTTAATTCTTCGCAATTTTCGAAAATATGGAGTTCGCCAAAAATACGACCAAAACCAATTTTTTCCGCCCTTCAATACATACGTGAAAAAGTTAAGAAAAAAGAAACCATTTTATGAAAATAATGGTTAAAAATTACCTATTCTTTACGCGCAAATACGCAAAAACTGCTCATATTTTTGAAACATTGTAAAGTACGTGACCTCTTTTCAATATCTGACTTCAACAAAAGATTTCAGTAACGAAAAAATCGCTATTTTTGATATAGTTGTTGTATGTAGACTCCGAAAAAAATGAACCTTGGCAAATTTCGAGAAATCAGGGGTTTCAACAAAAATAAGACTTGCGCAATTTTTAAGCGTTCTCTATGCCTTTAGAGGGAAATGTTTAATTAAACAATTTGGAGCTAGTTTTTACCCCCAAAAATGCAAATATTCCTTTCAAATTAGCCGAGCCTAGAGTTTGTTTAGATCGATTACCTAGAAAATATCAGTTCTGGAGAAAATAGTGTGAAAGGATTTGTCGCTATCGTTGATCATACATAGGCGGACAGAGGTTATAACTCCTTGGAAGAAGTAATTTACTAAGTATAGTGACAAGATTTAGCCACTTTTTCGTCACTACGACCTGACAATAAGAGGCTTTCTGTCGGAGGAGCACCTATTTTTGATGCACGTTTACTGACGTATTAAGACGAGAAAGTAAAAGTGGTATTGTGACAGTCTTGCACTGTTCATGAAGCGTTTCAGAAACTCCTTCAATTTTTTTAAGGGGACGGGGAATGTCAATATTAGGTGACCGATTTGTCAATCCTGATCGCCCAACCACTTACCAGCGATTCCCGCATGGCCCGAGATTCAACAAAGTCCAAGTTCATGATGGAGAAACAATAGACGGTGTATCTCTTGTTGTACTGTTGTCAAGTATTCCGAAAGATAAATAGATAAGAGAGACTAATATGCACTACGGGAATTACTGCATGTAGCTACTCATTAATTTGATGCGATGCATTTCTGGGCCTGGTGCACAGCGAATTTCTCGGCGGAAAATACGCTACAGAACAGGTGAATTAAATATGAGCGTGAAGCAGATCTGCAATAGAATGCACACTATACAGAATCGTTGTTAGTATAACTGTAAAAGAATGATCAGAGTGAACTACTCTCAACTTATGGAAGCTATTCAGATATACTGAGGGGAGTAGTGAGTTTGCTTAATTTTTCATCTGCGGAAGTAGAGCAGATTCTTGAGCAGGATGGGGTTGTGAATGATAAACCAATTTAAGGATCACGCGTCTTCAAGATAGGACATTGGTCGTTTAACGTGCAAGAATGCTAAAGTCGACAGAATTCAGAAACAAATGATGGTTTTTCAGGTACCGAGTCTGCTTTATAGCATTCATGTTTCGATAAATATACAAGTTTTAGATGAACATTAAGTGAAATTGGTTGAAAAATATTTTATGGATAATTAGCAGTAATTTAAAGATTATTAGTAGAAAAGTAGCTCGAAAGCAACATTAGGAAATGTTAGGGGAACATCCATGAAAGATGTCCAAAATAAGACCTTTGGGATGCAACATCTTCAGGCATCTAACACAAAATATTTGCAAAACCAATAGAAGAGATACAATGTTAATGACATATCTCTGTTACTGACACTATTTTCCGTCTCTAGTAATAACATATACAAGATACTGTGAGAAACTCACCTAAAAACTCTTATAAAACGCTTCGGCGTCTTTTGAACTTGTGAGGAGAAATACATACATCACATCAACCTTCAGATTATTTTGGTAATGAATTCTGTATAGGATGGAAATATCTTGACATCTTACTCAGTCCATTTAAATATTATTTGCTGTCCCGAGGAAAAATAATCAATTTCCCAAGCAAAACCTCTTACTTTTCGTGCATGGTATTTAGAACTCCATTTGCATATTCTTTCTATGTTTTCACGCATAGATGCGCTCATAATACTTTCACAGAAAGGGAATTCTTGAGAACACACGCATGTGTATTTACATGCTGACGAGGAGCAGTCACGGTGCTTGAAAAATGGAAATTGGCGTGTAAGTGATACTTCATGCACGCTATTCGGATGTTGCACAGAACAGGCAGAAATTCTCGATTATCTAGATGAAGTAAGAGGCATGGTGTTGAACATTTAAATGGAGACTTTCCATGAGTAAATAATAATCATAAGTTATGTATAATCGAGAATATATATATATATATATATATATATATATATATATATATATAGAGAGAGAGAGAGGAGAGAGAGAGTAATATCCTTAGTATAGATGAAAGTTATGTAATGCAGCAATCATCAATTTCGGATTTTCAATAGAATGGGGTCCCCTGGTACTGAAACCGAGTTTTTTTAAACGCCTTCGTTCGTTCGTTTGTTCGTCCGTCCGTCTTCGACCAACCC